GGCTGCTGAGCGACGACGTATCGAAAAGGATTTGCTGGACGAGTCGGATGATTTTTTGCTTAGTGGGTAGGTTGTTTCACCGCCAAAACTTTCGTTTTGTTTTTTTATGAGAAGCGGAAGCACTCGCAAGAATTTCGGGTGCAGCAAGTGCCAATAGCAACCGCACGCCGACAAGACTGTTGATGGCTCACTTCAGGAATTGTTTAGGAAGCAAGCTTTTGGCGGTTTTGACACCCTGACATGTTCCAGCACTAATTTGACATCGCAACAAATAGATAAATCGTGGAATTGGTTATCCCACTACGGGAATCGAGCTTTCTGCATGAGAAGAATTCAGTTTCCCCACTGTGCCGTGCTTGTTAAATATAATATGTAAGAAATATTAAATATATGAGGAGGCCGAGAGCCCATGGTACGCCTGTACGGTATCGAGTCGACTCGGAGAGCGCAACAACGAATCGATTGGAGAAGTTGCCAATGCTGCATCGATGGCCTACAGCTGCTCAAATATTCAAGTTTGTGATAAATATAAAATTTTAGTGACGAGGATGAAACATTGGCAGTAACAGAAGATTGGCCAGAATCGGAGCATCAACAGTACAATGATGTTTTTTTGGATGACAACCCCAAGGACCCTCTGAGGTAAAATTTTGTTCAGTTATGAATGTAATTTATGAAGATTTTTGCCATGGTTGAACCAACTAAAAAGTTTAGAGTATTTTTTGGAACTGAAAAAAAGGAGCTTTCTTGTAATTATGCAAGAAATTTTTGCAGGAATGCTGGAGTGTGGACCGATGAAGAAGTGTTGTGGTGGGAGTTGGTTGCACTGGACCAAAAGCTGACCGCAATCCGAGATTTTCGTAAAATGATAGCGGAAAAAGCACGACGTCTTACGCGTTTCTACAAGAAAAAAATAAATGAGAAAGAGAAAAAAGGTTGATTTTTGACTGAACAATGTCAAAATTCTAGGTGAAAGGACATGGCATAGCTGTGCTTCGCGGGTAAAAACGTCGCTGACACGAAACCTTCATACCACTGTGTTGATGTTCTTGGCAAATTCAAACAGAAACATATTTTGAAGTAGGGGCTAGAATAAAAGAGAAAATAATATTGAGAAATTATTTATTAAAATTATTATAGTGATAAAAAAATGTTTTGTTCCATTAGGTCGTATACATTTCTTACCATTACCAGAAGGACCTGATCAGTACGGCGACTGTAGTAATTGTAATTATCATAAATTTAATTTAAATCATTTATATCAACTTGCTAGTAAAGGTATATGTTAGTTAAAGTAAAAAGTGTTATATGAAAGTAAGAGTAGGATCTTACCGAAGGTGGGTTTGTTGGTTCCCAATCAAACTCACTTTCACATTTTTGTAGAAGATAGTTTCAGAATAGCCTAAGTAATAACTACTTTCACCAGAAACTATCCTCCTAGCTGCAGTAGTGTCCCTATTGTTTTTTGGGATTATTTAAGAAAAGGAAAAATAAAGATTAGTGGCCCATTTATTATTTATACTGTGCGCGATATTGCCAACAGTTATAGAAGAAATGAGATTTGAATCTGAGC